TCTATGCAGCCACAAAAACAAGAGGTTACATACTGGTATGTAAAAGATTATTTTTTAAGTAAAGCAAAGTTGAAAACTATGTGCATAGATTACAACTATTTGGAAATATGTTTGGATATGCAGAGACTCTCTCTAGACGTATATGCACAAGGAAAACAACATATATTCATAGGTTGCTTCCTGAAAGGAGCAAGTACCTGGGGAACAGGGTTGGGATGACAGGGAGACTTTTTAAAACTGATGCCATGTGAATGTTATTAAAATAATATTTAATTTGAATATACATTTATGTTCAGATTAAATGTTATGTAAGGTTCTAGAATAAAGAAAAATCACGAATAGAAAATATGTTCAGAACATATTATACAAAGGGATTATTGTTCAAATACATAAAGAATTACCATAAATCAATTAAAAATGGCATACCACCAGTAGAAAATTATATGCAAAAGAATTTAACCCATTTATTTCATTATTAAACAGTGACAACATGTTCCATCTCACTAGTAATCATGAAAACGAAAATTAAACCAAGAAATGTCTTTTATTCATCACATTAGCACAAATTTTTCATTTATGTGGAAAATAAATATATTCATATTCTTTTGGTGAGAGTAAAAATTCATACAGTTGCTTGGAAGCAACTAAAAAATGGAGACATGGAAGTAACTAAAAGAGTTTTAAAAACACAAATCAGCTTTTTTTKGGGGGGGTACTGAAGATTGAACTAGGGGTGTTCTACCACTGAGGTACATCCCCAGTCATTTTTTATTCTTTTATTTAGAGACAAGCTCTCATTAAATTGCTGATAATCTCACTAAATTGCTGAGGCTGGCCTTAAATTTATAATCCTCCTGCCTCAGCCTCCCAAGTTGTTAGGATTATAGGAATGCCCCACAGTGCCTGGCTACATGAACATTTTGAATGAGAATAATCTTTACTCAACAATTCCACAATTAGGAATTCATTCTAGGGACATAATTCAATACCCAAACAAAACAGTATAAGCTAAGTTTTTGATTGTTGTTTCAATCATTGTACAATATTTAACTATAATTACCTATATGTGAGATTTTTAGTAACTTTGACTTCCTTCTTAATGCTATTTTGTTTGAAATTTCACAATAAGCAAGTTTCATTTTATACAGAAAACAATAAGCTGCTTTCATTTATTAAGACAATTACAGCACAGACATATACACCAAATGTAATAAATTCAATAGAACTCCAGATAAGTGCTTCATCGATTAATAAAATTTATTGAATACAATTGGTAGACATAGTTATAAGCATGGAGAACAAACACACACAGATGCCCTCCAGACAATTATGTATTCTCATTAGGAAATATATATATATATATATATATATATAAACTAAATAATAAGTAAGAAAGTTCAATTGTTAAAAAAAAAATAAAATTAAGTGATATGATAGAGGGTGGGAGTGGAATACTGCCTTATCTACAGTGCTTAGAAAAGGTATCTCTTGGGATCCTCATTTTTATTACTTTAAATGTCATATAAAGATGAATGTTAATCCTCAGCACTGCAAAAGAAAAAAAGAAAAAAGATGGGGAGGGGGTGTTTCAAGTAAAAGGAATATCGGGGTAAACGTCTTAGGAAGAATAAGCTTAGAATGTTGGGAGGCGAGATGAAGCCCAGTGACTCAAGCACAGAGAACAAGGGAAGAAATGGAGAGAGACTATGTCCTGAGACAGGCAAGACCCCGACCATGCAGACCTAAGGTAAGAGTCCATATTTTATTCTGGTCACAGATGTAAACTGTGTTAGTTAGCTTTTCATCCCTATGACCAAAAGACCTGGCAAGAACAATTGAGAGAAGGAAAAATTTATTTTGGCWCATGGTGTCAGAGATTCAGTCTACGGTTGGTCCACTTCATATCTCTGGGCCTGAATGAGGCCGAACATATGACAGAAGAATGATGGTCAGTTCATGACAGCCAGGAAGCAGAGAGCGCTTGCGTGCAAGGAGCCAAGGATACTGTAATCCCCAAGGGCACACCCCAGGGACCTACTTCCTCTAGCCATATCCTACCTGCCTACAGTTACCACTCATTTTTATCCACTCAGATTATTAATCCATCAAATTAGGTTACAGCTCTCATGATTGAATCTTTCACCTCTGAACATTCCTGCATTGTCTCACACCTGAGCTTTCTGGGTGACACCTTATATCCAAACCACAGCAGAAGCCATTACAAGGTTTATGTTAGTGAGCTAAAGGATGGTATTTTCACTTTGGAAATACCTCTTCATTTGCTATTAATGGATAGCATAAAGGTGAAGATGTCTCTGACATCTCTAGTTTAACCAACAGTTGCTGAATTGAACTAAAATTGTAGCAGAGGTGATGGTAAAAAGAGGTTAGATTCAAAAATCTATTTCAAAGTCAATGCTATTGAGAAGATAAAGAGAGGAATTAAGAATAACTACCTAGTTTGGGGTGCAAACAATTGATAGATGATGGGACCATTTACTGTAATGGCAAAGCCACAGAGAAAATGAGAGTTGGAGTGGAATAAAATGCATAGTTCTCTTTTGGACACATTGAGTTTGAGACACCCAAGAGGAAATGTGTTTGCTATATGAGCCTATGGCATAGGGATGAAGTCCTGGCTGAAATTAATAATAAAATGTGRGAGTTGTCTTGAGTATTCATAGTATTTAAAGCCAATGGACTGGATGGAATTATTTAAGCAGAGAATTGAGATAAGAAGATAAGAGGGCTGTATTCAGAGCCCTGAACACTCCAATATGTGGTAGTCTGGTAAAGAAGGACTAGCCACCAARTGAGTAGGAAAATAGCAAGAGACTACAAAGGAAGTCTTTTTCAAAAACATGGGAATGATCAACAGTATCAGGTATTAATGGGAAATGGAGTAAAATAAGCCTAGAGAAYAGACTATATGTGTTGGCAGAATACATATAATCATGGCTGTATCACTAATTGCCTGAATACTCTCGCTTGGGGATAAGCGAGGTGTCATCTAATTTCTCTTTGATACAATATTAAGAATAATGAGGGYGGGGCATAGGGAAGAATAGARAACTTTGGTCTGTGTAGAGGGGAATAYGGGGAGGGATGAGGTTGTAGGGATGGGAAGGACAGTAAAAAAGACAGACATTATTTCCCTATATCATGTATGATTACACTATGGAGTGACCCTAAACCATGTACCACCAGAGGAATGAGAAGCTCTGCTCCATTTGTGTACTGTGCGACCTAATGCATTGTAAGTAAATTAAATACAGTAAAATAATACTGTAAAATACTGTATTTAAATAAATATAGTAAAATAAATAAATTTTAAAAAATAAATGTAGTAAAAAATAAAAGGTAAGTTAATTGATTAATTAAAGGTGTAGAGTCCAGCTGAATGAAGCATCCCTTGTAATCCCAGGGACTTTTTTTTTGGGCGGGGGGAGGCTGAGGCAAGGGGACCAAAAGTTTGAGGCCAGTCTGGGCATTTTGAGCAAGACTCTTATCTCAAAAGAGAAGAATGAAATGGGCTGAGGATGTATTAATGGTAGAGTGCCCCTGGGCTCAATCCCTAGTACCAAATTAATAATAACAATAATGAGGTGGTAGTGGTGGTAAGAACAAATCAGAAAGGTACAGATAGAAATTGTTATTGAGATAGGTCATGAAGCCTGGAGCAGTGGCGCATGCCTGTAATCCCCGTGACTCAGGAGGCTGAGGAAGGAGGATCGAAAGTTCAAGGACAGCCTCAGCAAGTTAGTGAGGCCCTAAACAACTTAATGAGACACTGTCTCAAAATTTAATAAATAAATAAATAAATAAATAAGAAAGGGGTGGGGATGTGGCTTAATGGTAAAGCACCCCTGGGTTCAATTCCTAGTACTCCACCCTCCAAAAAAGTCAATGAAAGATGAGAAAGTGGCTGCAAGGAGTTTGGGCAATAACTAGGAAGGTATTTTTTTGTTACTGTATTTAAGGTAGATGTTAGGATGCAACTGCAATAAATCTATAGTGGAACAGTAATTGACATCACCCTCAAAGYTTCTTGGAAAAAAAGAAGGGAGAGAGGAAGAAAGGAAACAAATTTTGTGATAATTCATTTAAATTGGTGCTATTAATAACCCCTGAAAAAATTCCKATTATTGTTTCTATTCTGTTTGTTTGGGTTTTGTTGTTATTGTTTATTTGTTTGCTTTTTTTTAGCTATTGTTGAACTTAGATTAGTTAGCAAGCATTTTTTTCCCTAATGGTACCTCATAGTCAAAGATTGTTATTAATGAAGATTGCCATCACTGTGTCTATTTGTGATTATAAGACATTCTGGTCACATAAATTTTATTTTCATTTAGCTAATCTGTAACCATTCCTTAGCACTCCCATGTAGCTGCTGTTCCTCTGATTTGCAAGCCATTCGCTAAGCCAACATAGCTTATGTGACACTGTTATTTATCAGAAATAAATATCAGTGGCTTGGCTTTTTAACTCCCCGCCTTTTTCCGTTGTTGTTCTTCTACTATTGGTGCCACTTAAAAGGCTTATGTTGCTATTGTTATCATCTAACTAGCCATGTATTTAACRACTCCACGCTGTGAATACAGATATCCCAGGTTCAATGCTGGTAGCACGCCTGCACTTAAGAACTTTATTATGGCTGTTCAGATATGCCATCTAGTAATAGGTGTGGTTAAGTGATGTTGCTGACAGTAGTAATAGCAAAGTCAAGTCTCAACACCACAGTGCAGTTCAAGGATAGCAAACTCAAGTCTCAGCACCATGGTAGAGTTTGAGCTGCAGGCTACGCCGTTTGCCTGATTTTATGCCATTACGATAATATTCGCATTAAAGTCTTTTGAGAACAAAGAGAAACTCATAAAATGTTAAATGTAATACTTTTATTTTTTTCTTTAACAAACATCTATGGAATGTCTCCTTAGCATAAAGTCCTAGTGGAGACAGACATATAATTAAGCAATTTCCATAAAATGAAAAAGATGTTCTTTTAGGCAAGTTCTGGGAGTACAACAGAGAGGACCCTTGTAGCAGGTCTTTTCATGTATTGATATTGAAGTCCCATAGGATGTCATCATTGGTGGAGTTCAAGGCAAAGTCTTTCTGAAAATCAGCTATTGAGCAACTAAACTAGATAAATCCTCAAATATTTATAATTCTGTTGCCACTTGAATATGAATGCATTCATCCTGAACTGCCCCAACCTAGAAATAGATGAAATGGCTGCTTGCAGGCTCACTGTTATAGTCTATTTTCTGTTGCTATAACAAAATACCTGAGGCTGGATACTTTATAAAAGAAAGAGGTTTGTGATGGCTTACAGTTGTGGAAGCAGGAAAGTTCAAGAAGATGGCATCTTTCCTCCTTCTTGTGAGACTTCATGGCGGCTCAACTGGTGACAAAAAGAGGAAGTAAACTGGTGACAAAAAGAGGAAGTAGGCATGTGCAGAACAGCACGTGTGTGAGAGGAGACTGAGGAGAGATACCAGGCTCACTTTATACCAACCCATTCTCGAGGTAACCAATCCAGTCTTGCAACAGTTAGAACTCACTCCCACAAAAAAAGCATGAATTCCTCTTAAAGGTCCAATACCTCTCAACACTATTATACTGGGCACCAAGCGTGAATTTTCTTAGAATCAAACCATCCTGAAACCACAGCACTCACTAATGCTGAAATGCCCCCCAAACAGTTCATACAGTTTGTTCATCCTTTACATCTGAGTATGAGTGTGACAGATCCTGTCCAGAGAGACTTTTTTTTTTTTTTTTTTTTTTTTGGTACCAGGGATTGAACTCAGGTTCATTTGACCACTGAGCCACATCCCCAGCCCATTTTTGTATTTTATTTAGAGACAGGGTCTCACTGAGTTTTTTAGCACCTCGCYGTTGCTGAGGTTAGCTTTGAACTCGTGATCCTCCTGTCTCAGCCTCCCAAGCCACTGGGATTACAGGTGTGTCGCCAGAGAGAACTATTTTATGAGAAAGAAAAGACATATTTTCAGAAGAAAATGTGTTAAGAGAAAAAGGAACTTTAAAAGAGAGAAGACAGAAAACACTCAAGACAAATACTCACTATTCACAACTGAGCCTGAAACAGGTGATGGGTGTGTTTCCAAATTCACAAATACATTAGGGAGTCCCACCTGTGCTGGTCTGATTGGCTAAACTGCTCTGCTTCTGACTGAATCTGAACTCTAGGTGGCTTGCTTGAGGTGTGTCCTTTGCTTCACTTTTACTCTAGATGGCAGTAGCAGAACAAAATAGAGGAGAAAAATCTGTTTTCAATGAAATGTAACCTTCTGTGTTTATCACGTAAAAAAGATCTCAGAATGTCGTTTAAAATAAACTATGCCTTTTAAAATTTTACTTTCGGTGTGGACGTACTTCAATAAAATTTAAAATAATATTAAAAATTTCAAAAATAAATAGTTAAAAATCAATGTATACCAGAGCTGGAGACATAGCTCAGTGGCAGAGAGCTTGTCTAGAGAAGACCCTGAGTTCAATCCCTAAGTATCACACAAAAAAAACAATGTTCAGATGTCCTCACAACTGTTCAACTTGTCAGCCCACTGTTAATATGTTAATTATAGAGAATTTTTATAATAATAATAATATCTCTTGAAAGAYTCATTGTTTTATCTACAAGTTTACATTTGAAAGCTGAGATGTCAAAATTGAATATCAAATATACTTCTGGAATTGATGAAGACTCATCCTATAAAGGGTCAAGTAATGAGATGGAGAACACAAATTCTCTGACTCCACATATTAGAAAAACAAAATATTTCTCTAATAAATTCAAGTTTTGAGAAAATGTTTCAAATAAAGACATACATGAAACTTACTTTTACAATACTAAAATCATAGTTATGTCATTTTATTTTCTTGAGAATGAATGGTTTATTATTGTTTYATTATTTTATCATTTTACTTTTGAACTTTTTTTATTTGTTCTTTTTAGTTACACTTGACAGTAGAATGTATTTTGACATATTATACATACATGGAGTCTAACTTCCCATTCACTGGTCGTGTATTCATATATGAACATAGGAAAATTATGTATGATTTATTCTACTGTCTTTCCCATTCCCATAACCYCTCCCTTCCCACTCTTCACCCCTGTCACCCCATTGTGCCTCCACTCCTTCCTCCTCTCCACCCACACCACCTCCAGCCTTCTGTGAGTCAGCATCTGCATATCAGAGAGAACACTTGGCCTTTGGTTTTGGGGATTTGGCTTATTTCACAAAGCGTTATTTTATTATATAATGATATTTTCTGACATCACTCTCAACTGAGAGAATTTATGATACCAGAATAGAAATGGAGAAGTAGATGAAATTGGAGAACAATGGAAACATTTAAAGAGAGAGAGAGAGAGAGAGAGAGAGAGAGAGAGAGAGAGAGACCGGAAGAGAAGTCAAGAGATTAAAAGAAGGGCAAGAGTTGTCCGAATTTTCATAAAGGGGCTTCCAGAAACCGTGGTTTACTTAACTTGACATTACATCCTCACACAATTCTAGGCTGGGTTTTGTTTGTTTTTAATTATTTATTTTTAGTTTGTTCTAATTAGTTATACATGACAGTAGGAGGCATTTTGACACATTGTGCACAAGTGGAGCACAACTTCTCTTTCCTCTGGCTGAACATGATGTACAGTCACACAGGTAGTGTAGTCATACCTGTAGGATAATGATGTTCATCTCACTCCTCCACCCTTCCCATGTTTGTTTGTTTTTCTGTGGTGCTAAGGATTGAACCCAGGGCAAGTTGGCAAACTCTCCATTGCTGAGCCACATCCCCAGCCCTCTAGGCTGGTTTAAACAGTGGATACCCAAGGGCTTAGAAAATGCAGTCATCCAGGTTTTGTGTCCTATGGCTGCAGAGGGTATAATTCCCACCTCTGTATTCATAGATGAATTCATTAAGATAATTTTCCTACACAGTGCATTGAATATCTTAGAGAAGGATGATCTTTTTCTGCTTTAAACAAAGGTACTATTTGGACTAATAGTGGTTCTGTTATCATGAGTCAGAATGGCTTTATTAAGTTAAAGCCCCAACAAACTAACCCTTTCTTTTTTGTGCCAGAATTACTGGCTTGGTAAGACAGAATTAATTAATCAGAATCCTTAGATTACCAATGTTCAATCAGTTATTTAATTGGATTGATGGAGAGGCAGCACAGAATAGTATCAAGGACCCAGTGTTGAGAACCCAAGTTTAGTTGCATCTGACGCTCTGCCATTTACTCATAGACCCTGCTGATGGTCGTGTGAATTGGAAGGCAGTCAGGCAACATGTAATTGGTATTTCTTATTCCCTTTGATCTAATCATTGCATTTGAGAAATATATCATGATGGAGAAATCAGAAAGGTGGAAAAAGATTTATGTATGCACAAGGAAGCTCATCATTATGTGGTTTACAATAATGAACAAACCAGAAAACGGGAATGGTTACATAAATAACAAGATAAAGATGCAGCAATTGAATTACTATTTGTCAGGAGTTTATTACTTGCCATGTATTTTGCTGGGTACTAGAGATTCAGCATGGAGCCTGAGAGATACAGAAACTGACTTTCCTATAGTGAGAATTCAATGTCAAGTTTAAAAAAGAAAGAAAGAAAGAAAGAAATCAACCCCCAAACAGTATATACTATCTGCTATATAAATTACATATGTATATATATATATATATATATATATATATATATATATATATATATATATATAAAGAAAATACTAGAGGAAAATACATCAAAAATGCTTATAATCATCTTCTTTGTTATAATAATTATTTTATACTTTCTGTATTTTCTATAATGAGTATGTTACTGTTAAATTTTTTTTAATTATACAAAATGATATTATAGCAAAGATGGGGTAAGGTAAAAAGAGAATGTTATCTAATAATTGTACCAAAAGTCAAGATCACTTCATGGTACAAAAATCCCTAGAGATATAAAGACAAATTACAAATTACTCTTTTGTGTGTTTTGATATCTATCACCGTGTCCTTTGCAAAGCCATCTTTCTMCTCAGCTTTGGGAAGATCTGTTTTTATGCAAGGAAGGAATGCTGGCAGCTCATACCACCCAGGTGACACAAGGGGGTGCACAGGCCCTGCTTCCATACGCTTCTTTGTCTTCCTGGAAGAAGAAAATGCTATTTGCTTTGGTGACCAGTTAAAATGTTTTAATAGGCTTATGTATACAATCTACAGTGTGTTTCTCACCTGAGGGGTCTCTGAGAGCATGGTCCTCCATACAAAAAAAACCTCTGCTTCCCCACGTTTATTTCACAAGAAAAAAATATTGCAGGATGGTTTTTATTTTTTTTTAAACACATTCATATTTATTCTTGAGAGCTGCCCTTTTTTTAAGCATGTGGACAGAACGAGAATCTATGGCRGGTTATCAAAATATTTTATAAACAATATACATGAATGTATAAGGTGTCACTATAAAATGCCACCCAAGTATTATGAGCATGTTTAATGTTCTAAGTTGTTATAGTAGCAGGAAATGAAAAAAAAATTATGACTGGACACTCAGGAAACAAAATAAATATTAGGAAGTAGGAAAATAAAAGAAAATTCTAGGTAAAAAATAATAGAGAAGTAAGAAACAACCATCATTAATAGTTTCTTTAGAAAATGAGAGAATGACAGTTCTTCAAACCATGATTCATTCTTCATTCCACAAAGAGACCAGGAACAGATTAGCATGCCATTGAACAGGGAAGAAGACATGACGTCTAATAAACATATGGTTTTAATTTAAGCAAAAAATAATTTATTCTTGTGACTCTAGACTAATATATTTGATTACCTCCCCCTGGGCAAAAGATGTCTCATTCCAAAAGATAGACTGCTCCCAAATTGATGTAAATGGAATTAGAGTTCATGAATAAAACAACTTGCTGAAATAGCAAAAGTCAGAAGCCCTCTCCACTAAAACATTCTGAGTGGCTCTTTAAAGCACAATTAGCAAGACTAGAAAATGCCTAAATGGCCAAGAATAGGGATTGTTAAACAAATTATGGCACATAAGTAAATTAGAAAATAACTATTTAAAATGGTATTGACATGAAAAGACATTTAAAAGCAATTTATACAATGATATGTACAATATAGTCTAATTTTTATTTAAATATAAGCATAAATAGAAAAACCTGGAAAGATATGTGTCAAAACAGTAATAGTYATTATCCTTGAGAGGTGAGTGACTGGGTATTTGTTTTAGTGTCTTCTTTTTTTTTTTTTTTAGAGCGAGAGAGAGAAAGAGAGAGAATTTTTCATATTTATTGTTTAGTTTTTGGCAGACACAACATCTTTATTTTATTTGTATGTGGTGCTGAGGATCGAACCCAGCACCGCTTGCATGCTAGGCAAACGCACTACCGCTTGAGCCACATCCCCAGCCCAAWGTGTCTTCTTTATGTATATCTATAGTTCATCATTTTGTCTACAATGAATAAATATTTTTTAAAACAAAATAAAAAATAAGGACTCTCAAATAAAAGTCAGTACCTTTGTTAATTTAATAGATACATAAGTCTTTACAAACCACCAGAGATATGGTGACGATATAACCATTTGCCAAAAATAGTTCCACTTTTGACTTCTGTTCTACTATTAATAGTGTCCCTTTCACTCTCAAAAGTTTGAATGAGCCAAGTGTGAGGATGTGTGCCTGTAATTTCAACAAGAYTCAGGAGCCTAAGGCAGGAGGATCACAAGTCCAAGGGCAGCMTCAGCAACATCCTAAGCAATTTAGCAACTTGTCTCCAAATTAATGAAAGGGTTGGGGATGTGGATTGGTACTGGGTTAAATGCCCCTGGGTTCAATCTTCAGAAACAAACAAAAGTTTGAATGATAAGTCACCCTATAGGTGAATTTTTAAAAGTTTTCCCAAGAAGTTAGCAAGCCTCACAGCTATTCCCCTTTATATATACTGCCTGCCTCCAATCCAAAGGATCCTGATCATTTTCTCTATAAATGTGCCAAGAGGTAAAACTGGTGCAGAAATTCTGAGGACGGTATCCAGGTCACTGTGGGGCCAGGGTACATCCCAAGATCCACTTGGATCATAGTCAAGACAGAAAATAGTTGACCCCTTGGCTGGACTGCCCATAAGGACTGATTTATGCATAAAGCATCAGGAACAGTGACATGACACCCTACCTCCACACCACCTTCTAACATGTCTTTTGGGACAAAATCCTGGCACTTCCAGGATGGACATTAGTTTTCAAAGTACCACTCACTATTTCTGTACAAATAAACAACCTACTGCTTTGGTTAAATTCTTTGTATTAGAAGTTTAGAAAGAAAGATAAAAAGACTCCAATAGCAAGTAAAAATGGAAAAAAGAAAATGCTTCCTTTCTGCCATGCTGGGGATGGAACCCAGGGCCTTGGTAGGTTCAGCTCTACCACTGAGCCAAACCCCCAGTCCATCATTGAAGGTTTTTACAATTAACTTAAGGGTGTCTCTGCAGACAAAGAGCCCAGAACCTGACCAGGACCCACAGTGGAGCAGAGCCATAGTGGAAAGCCCGGGCAGCTCTTTGTCTCCTTCTCTTCCCTACCCCCCTCTCCCTCTCCCTGTGGATGGCATGGTTTCTTGTCTCTGCTTAATGGGGCACATTTGTATCACTCTTCTCACTCTGCAGATGTGCTTATTCTTCTTCATACCCAGAGTCAAAGATGGCCACCCTAAGTGCCACTACATGTCCTCTCGGGTCCAGCTCCAGCAGCAATTAATCGGTACTAGCCCCTCTTGGCCCTAAGAACCAAGGGACAGACTCTCGTTGATTCAGTACAATGAAGGAATTGGTTCCTCCTGAGTAAATTGTCCACCACTAACTAATTATGGCCAGAAAGGAGTAGATAACAGTACTAAAAACGGCTCACCCATGTGGATTAGGGAAAAGGAAAGAAAGTCTAAGCAGACATCTCCCCAGGAATCTGTTAGTTTTTCCCTCCTTCTGAAAACTTGGCAAGTTCCTTTTTCTTCAGTGACATACTCTGACAACACAGGGAAAAAAACGAAGACACTCTTGCCTACACATCACAAGCATTGTGTCTAAACTTCCAATGAAATCTCATAGTTTTCTCCATAATTGCCTCATAGTTTTTTTCCCCTTTCTTTTATTTTTTGAGGTGCTGGGGATTGAACCCAGGGCCTTGCACATGCTAGCCAAGTGCTCTAACCACTGAGCAACATCCCCAGCCATTTTTATTGAGACGGGGTCTTGGGTAAGTTGCCCAGGCTGGCTTCAAACTTGAGATCCTCCTACGGCCTCCTGAATAGCTGGGATACAGGCATGTGCCACTGCACGTGGCCCTGCTGCATATTTTCTTAATTCTATTGCAAACTTCAGAGGAAACTAGGACCATAAGTCCTCATCAATTTTCTTCTGTACCTTAAATCCTATAATAAGGGATCATGAGGAAGTCACAGTTCACCTATTTGAAGAGTGAAACCTTTTCACTTTTGCTTTTTTAAAATCCATTCACTCATAATATTTATTGCATTGCTATCATATGTCAGGACCTGTGCTTGGCGCTGTGGCAGAGATAAAACACGGTCTTTATTTACAGGGATTCACATGTACCTAGAAAATCAACCATATAAAAAAAATCGCTTTGTTACAATATGATATGACCTACAACAGAAATATATATAAAGTGTACATGGTGAAGAGAAAATGGGTCTAACTCATCCTTGAAGAAATTTTAAAAGACACGGAAAAGAAGATTGTGTATTTCATGTGGAGGCTGAAAGACAACCTTTCCCAATGGAGATGAAGGGGAAGATTGCAAGTTAAAATATCAATAATAATAGTTACCAATACACTTAGCATTAACTTATAGACACTCTGCCACATGCTGGGCATGGAGTATCTTGTTTAAATCTTGCAAACCAGGGGCTGGGGATGTGGCTCAAGCGGTAGTGTGCTCGCCTGGCATGTGTGCAGCCTGGGTTCGATCCTCAGCACCACATACAAACAAAGATGTTGTGTCCACCGAAAACTAAAAATAAATAAATAAATATTTTTAAAAATAATAAATCTTGCAAACAGCTGGTCTTCCTGTCACTGAACTCTCCATGGGTATCTCAGGGTCATTTAGTCATTTAGAATAAAATATCCTCAGGAGGACAGAACTATGAGTACATAAGAATTTCAGTAAATGCCAACTGATGAACTGAAAACCCTCCTTGTAAATGTGCATGTGAGGAAAYAAGAACCCCATACACTGCTGGTGGGAATAACTCCCTGGAAGACAATTGTCAACATGTATCAAAACTCYCTCCAGGACATTTGCCTTAAGGAAAGAATTGAAAATTTAGGCAAAGTTACTGAGATGTTCCTCTCAGTATTGTTCATAGTGACAATTTAAAACATCAAAAAATGTTGTCATAAAAATGCTGTGGTAGAAGTGTATGAATGGACATGACAATTTTTTAAAAAATCAACATATAAGCAGAATAGTTTCAACAATTTTGTATGTATGTATGTATATATATATATATATATATACATTTATTGTGTATTTAAGATGTACAAAATTTTAAGTGTGTATATAAAATTTCAAATGTGTTTATACAGTATATGTTTGTGGATATGATTTACTATATATATATATATATATATATATATATATATATATATATATATATATATACAGATGCTTACAAAGTTAAATTTATATCCCAGTAAATTCATCATAAATTGAAAATATCATAAGTGGAAAATGCATGTAGTAGACCTAGCCTGCTGACATCATAGCCAAGCAACACAGTACACTGAAGCATATCCACTGCTTCCCCTGGTGATTTTGAGGCCAAGAGCTACAACTCTTTGCTGCTGCCCCGCATCACACAAGAGACATCATACCACATAATACTAGCCTGAGAAAAGATCAAAATTCAAAGTACAGGGATGCTAGGGTTGTGGCTCAGCGGTAGAGCGTCGCCTCGCACATGTGAGACCCTGGCTTCGATCCTCAGAACCACATAAAAATAAATAAGTGAAATAAAGGTATTGTGCCCAATTACAACTAAAATAATAATAATAAATGTTTTAAAGTTCAAAGTACGGCTTAAACTCAATATATATTGCATTCCCACCATTATAAAGTTGAAAAACTAAGTTGAACCATCATTAGTATATGAAACTAGAAAGATGAGATGGGTGTGGTGGTGAATACCTATAATCCCAGCATCTTCAGAGACCAAGGCAGGAGGATTACAAGGTCAAAGTCAGCCTCAGCAACTGAGCAACCCTATTTAAAAATTAAAAAAAAAAAAAGTGCTGGGGATGTGGTTATAAAAAAAAAAATGCTGGGGATGTGGTTCAGTGGTTAAGAGGCTCTGGGTTCAATCTCTGTACCCAACAGCAACAACAAAGAAAAAAAACTAGAAAGATACATTAAAGCTTATCAGTGATTTTTTTCTTTCTTTTTTTTTTAAGACAGAGAGAATTTTTTAATATTTATTTTTTAGTTTTTCGGCAGACACAGCATCTTTGTTTGTATGTGCTGCTGAGGCTCRAACCCAGGCCGCACACATGCCAGGCAAGCGTGCTACTGCTTGAGCCACATCCCCAGCCCTTATCAGTTATTTCTCTGGTCAAGAATTGGAGAGTTAGATAATCTTTATTTTGGTTTATCTCTATTTACAAAATGTTTTTACAATAAAATCACATTACAAATGTAAGTAAAACAAAAATGAGAGTTTACAATGTCATTTATTGATAGTAACTGATAATCTAATAATTTGTTTAAAGTTACCAAGACAGAGAACAAGGTATCGCTCACACTCAACATAAAATCATTAGTTACTTCTTTACATAAAAACAGAAACTCTGAAACCTGTGGTAAATTTTTGCATCTTTTGAACAATATTTTCATAGAGATTATTTACCTATCCAAATTATGTTCTATTCCAATRAAGCTGAAGAATCCAAAAGGAGGTGTACTCAGTCTGCTACTCAGCAGTAATTGCAGTTTGGGTAAGTCACTTCATTTCCCTGACTTTTGGACTGATTATCTATGAAAGAAAGAAAGGGGGGGGGAGTAGGGATAAAGAGAAAGAAAAGTAAAAAAGAAAAAAGAAAAAGAAATAACCTTACCAGTTTTTGTACAGATGAAAAGAATATACCATATATACTTTATAAAACTTTCTACAGCAGGTGGTTGGAATTTTAACTAATACCAGATCAAGTCCTTCAGTTCTCTGTTTGAGAATCTTCTCATTTTTCCTAGAGYTTTACAGACAAATTATTCTCTGTTTTTCAATCATTACAAAACTTGTGAGACATTACCAACCTAGGAAAATTGCTTTGCTCTCATTAAGGGGTTGGACCACGGCTCCTGTGGTTTTAGAGATCTACCTTAAAGAAGGAATTTCACGTTGCTACTTGAAATCTTTTGAGAGACTGATTCAAGCCCCCGTACAGAAAGCTGCTAAGCCTGACAGAATAGTCAATAATAATACTCACGCTCATTTTAACTCTCTGGTCTTTCTGTAATCRTGCCCAAGGATCCAAAACTAAAGTCTTTCTGCTCCCTAGAGTGGTCAAAAAAGTCAGTTATTTTAGKCACTGAAATACCTTTTCCGTCTAGCTCCTTATGCCCTCCTTAATATAGAAACCACTTTTAAACCTGCTGACGATGAGATTTTATTTAACCCCCATTTCATCTGTTGAGTTCTGTCTCTGTCTCAAACAGCTTCATAAGACACCTGTTTCCTGTACATTATTAGAAGCCACAATTTACAACAGTCGTCTTCAGTTATAAAAAATCATTTTCTTTAAAATTCTTTTCTACTTTTCACAAGCATAGGCCTTCCCTCAGGTCAGCTTTTGACAAATACTCATAAAATCATTATTAGCAAAACTGGTAAGCATATTCACTTGGAAAGACCCATAAGATCCTAATTTTGGAATCTTGATCTTTTGGCATCTCTGAATTTGAAAGATGATCTGAGAGGTGAGCTTATAACAGTGTGTTCTAATCTTCTCTGGGTCTATGACACCATCATGAATGTACAAGGACACACTACGGGGTGCCCCCCTTTCCCACCCTGCCTGTCATCCACCAGCCCAGCCAATAGTTTCGATATCTCTTATTTGCTATCCTTAACACAGAGTGGACAAGAATAGCAACTGCAAAGGGGATCTGGACTCAAGTGTCTTTGTCTATTAAACTGTACTCCAATAGTCACAGCATTCACTATTTTTATTCTAATTACTTATTATAAATTATTGTATTTGCTGGGCAYGGCAGCACACACCTGTAATTCCAGTGGCACGGGAGGCTGAGAAAGGAGGCTTGTGGGTTCAAAGCCAGCTTCAACAACAGTGAGGCCCTAAGCAACTCAGTGAGACCCTGTCTCTAAATAAAAAACAAAAAAGGGCTGGGGATGTGGCTCAGTTGTTGAGTGCCCTTGGGTTCAATCCCTGATACCCCAAAAATAGATAAATAAATAATAAATTGTTGTATTTGGGGCTGGGGTTGTGGCTCAGTAAGTAGGGTGTTTGCCTCGCATGCATGGGGCACTGGGTTCAATCCTCAGCACCACATAAATTAAAAAATAAAAATAAATAAAAGATATTGTGTCCATCTACAACTAAAWWTTTTTTTTAAAAAAGCTTGTTGTATTTGCTTCCCCTTTAGACAATACATTCTGCCATTTTTTTCCCATTATCTAAGATAGTGCTCACTACAAAGTAGGTGCCAAGTAATCATTTATTAAATGAATGAATTCTTTCYATTATGGTTCCCATTTTCATCAACAAAATTAATCAGTCAAAAGAAGGTGGTAAAGAGGGTGGCTGTATGAATCAACCCCAGAAAACACAGTTCACCAGTGCTAGGCAAAGTTTGGGCTCTAGAATGTGAATAAAGACCCAGGTCACATGCAGTAAATATTTCCAAAACAACAAATGAGTGATATTCTAGTAAAATGCATTATGCTGGATCGATGTCAAGGAATCCGTCACACTCCTCTTATTTTAAATCCAAACAGGGGTTCCTGCCTTTGTTATCAACAATCTTACCTTAAGTGGGCTTCCAGAACCTCATATAATAGCCAAGGTACATCGAACACATGARAGGTAAACTCTCCCAGGCAATTTATTCTTTTTATGTAAATATGATAATAGTGTAAGACATAGATAATTATTATGCCCATTTTACAAATTAGAAAATAAAACACCTATAAATCTAATAAATTGTCCAAGCTTCCATAACATATTAATAAGTACARCCAGAATTCAAATTCTTTTCTATTCAAATCCAGAGCCCAAGGTCTTACCTACAAACTCTACCTTTACCATTTAAAATTCAAGATTGGGGGCTGGGGATGTGGCTCAAGCGGTGGCACGCTCGCCTGGCATGCGTGCAGTCCCAGGTTCGATCCTCAGCACCACATACAAAGATGTTGTGTCCACTGAAAACTAAAAAATAAATATTAAAAAATTCTCTCTCTCTCTCTCTCTCTCTCTCTCTCTCTCTCTCTCTCTCACTCTCTCTCTTTCTCACTCTCTCTTTAAAAAAAAAAATTCAAGATTGGGACTGGGGCTGGGGCTCAGCGGTAGCACATGGCCTGGCATGAGGCCCTGTGTTCGATTCTCAGCACTGTATGTAAATAATAGATAAATAAATAAAATAAAATTCAAGATTACTGGGCTTATTTTGGTTTAATTCTGTTATACTTACAGAACATACTTTGTATGATTTTCATTTCTAAGAATTTGCTGAGTTTTATTTTATGACCCAAGATACTATCTTGGTTAGTAGTCTTGGCACAACAAATTCTGTTGTCATTGGATGGAGTCTAATAAGTTGGTTGTTGGTGGATTGGTGGTTTTTATTAGAGCCAGGTATTTAAGGGCGTTTTGCTAATTTTTGCTCTATTTGTGCCATCAAGGACTGAGGTGAACCATGTATGGTGGCATGCACCTGAAATCCCAGCTACTCAAGAGGGTGAGGAGGGAGAATACTGAGTTCAAAGTCAGCCCTAGAAAATTAACAAGGTCTTGTCTCAAAACAAAACAGCCTGAGGACATAGCTCAGGGGTAGAACGCCCATGGGTTCAATCCTGGGTAGCACCCCCMAAAAAAWTTTTTTTTTAAAGGACAGAGTTTATACATTGCCTCTAAATTATTTTGGAATACAAATAAGCTCTTTATAAAAATCGGTGGTCAATTTCTAGCTTTAAAATTAATTTTATAGTCTCATTACTCTATCTTCATTTGAGTATTACAGCAGAAAGAAACCATAAGTTCTGACATATGCAGGAAAAAACAAAGTAGTGTCACTCCAGGTGCAGTGATACCCACCTGCAATCCCAGCAATTTAGGAGACTGAGGCAGGAGGATGGCAAGTTCAAAGCCAGCTTCACAAATTAGCCACACTCTAAGCAACTTGGCAAGACCTTGTCTCCAAATCAAAATAAAAAAGGGCTGGGGATGTAGCTCAATGGTTAAGTGCCCTGGGTTCAGTCCCCAGTGCCAAAAAAAATAAAATAATAAGTCAAACTCTGAGAAGAAGCAATGACATAGGGGGGAAAAATCTCCCTTTAAGAAAGTAATCAGCTTCCATTAATGGGAAACAAGTCACTTGATAGTAGCTATTTTTTTTCCTAACACTTTGTTATATGGCTTGATGCTGATAAGACTAAAAGTTACGGACAARCTATCACCTAAGGCAAAAAATATTCAGCCAACTCTATCTCTGCCACAAGAGTAATATTACCGCTCAGAGGAGTTTTAGATAAAGTGACCTGGGATGATGGCTGTGACTGGGGTGTAGAGTCAGGAAGCAGATCAGTGTCTTGCAGGGGATAGGGCTGATTTTGTGGGTGCAGGGCAATGTTCTGGAGCAGTGGGACTGTCCCATGGTTTTGTCATGGTGCACTTGTGTATGTTTGTCAGACCTGTAGAATGAGGATTACTGTACCTCAGCTGTACCTAAATAAAAACTATTTCAAGTGCCTAGGATATAGTAGGTAGTCAACAAGAGAAATACAGAAATTATTTTTAACTTCAAATACTGTGTATATTCTCAAAAATGGAATAAATGTGTGGTCTAATGCATACAGCTGAGTGTGTCTAAATTTGACACTCCATAACTTTTTTTTTTATGGTCCCAGATTGAACTCAGGGGTGAGCCACAACCCCCAGCCCTTTTTCATATTTTATTTAGAGACAGGGTCTTGCTGAGTTGCTCAGGGCCTCATTCAGTTGCTGGCTTTGAACTTATATGATTTTCCTGTCTCAGCCTCCCAAGCCACTAGGGTCATAGGTGGACGCCACTGCATATTTCAAAATACTCCATATTTTGAAAATTGACATGCTCAGTCTCATAAGAGTTTGGATATCTGTAAACCTTATTTCTGTCATTCCTCACTGATAGGATATTGGAATAGGATTCTAAAGGATTGTGGCCTGATAGGCTCTGCCAGTAGTCTCTAATATGGAAGTAGTAAAACTTCACACTCAGCAAAAATGTATTTAATAGGACATTTTTTTGATTGAGAAAAAAATAAACTAGAAGGCAAAAAGATACAGTCATGATAAGCTCTGGATCACAGTCATACTGGCCAGGGACATTTGAATAAATTAAACATGATATTTCCCCACCATTCTTAGGGATTTTGAAGGACATGATTCCAGAGATATATATCTGTAGAGGCACTAGAACATGACATGTGTGTTGGCCACTGAAGCAGACAGCAATGGAAGAGGTTATATGGTGTGGGAAAATTTTGCAAAATAAAAGCTTTCAAATGTTATAAGTTCATTCACTGCAAATAATGGCAAAAAGTAAATGTTTCTCGAGTTCTTACATGTAACAGCAGGAACCTTACCAAATGTTTTACATTTATTACCCAGAAAAATCTATTGTATTGTTGCCTCCATTTTACAGATAAGAAAGTTGAGGCAAGTCTGTGATTCAGGAGGCTGAGGCAGGAGGATCACAAGTTCAGCAATTTAGCAAGACCCTGTCTCAAAAATAAAAAATAAAAAAGCAGCTAAGGATGTAGCTCAGAGGTTAAGTGCCTGTGGGTTTAATCCCTGCTACCAATAGGAAGGAAGGAAGGAAGGAAGGAAGGAAGGAAGGAAGGAAGGAAGGAAGGAAGGAAGGAAGGAAGGAAGGAAAAGAGAGAGAAAGTAAAGAAAGGAGGTTGAGTTATTTGCCCCACACTATTAAAGTGTGGCAGAGCTGGAATTTGAGTCCAGTCCCAAATTTTCCTGCTTCTAACCACTACCCTATGATGATATTTGTCAGTGGAAATGCTTTTGGTCATGTCTTCTGATAGCACTATAGTATTTACTGAAGAAAACTATTTCTTTATTTAATATTGTAAAAAGACCTTTGAAGGATGGCAGGGCAGATGGATTAATATTCAAAGTGTTTTAGATTATTAAATAAGTGCCCAAGCTTTTGCATGTGTAGTCTGAGGTTTAAATTAAATATGGATATTTCTTTCTTTCTTTCTTTCTTTCTTTCTTTCTTTCTTTCTTTCTTTTTTTTTAAGCAAATAGAAAAACATCATGGAGGATACTGGCAGCAAGGACTGCACTCACAACCTTCACACAGGGTACTTTGACCTTGCCTGAAACAGACAGGACCAGGCAGTAACCAAGGGTTGGAAAACTGTGCCTTGTAAAAATGGGATTGAACAAATCAGAGCCTTGAAAGATGGCTGAGCAAATATTAAGGTCAAGAACCCTATATGAGTCTTATTCTAAGTTCAATCCGACTCCTGAAAATCGAACTCTTTATTTCTTAAGCCTGACAATRATCCTACACTTTTCGAGGCCAATTCATGAAATGATAATGTGTCATGAGCCACCAGGACACAAGAGTCTTTATTATTCGATGGTTCAACTTTGATGAAAGAAAAGTTCTGAAGAATCAAGGTTACTCTCCTTTGTTCAAGAAAAATCGAGTTTATTTCAGAAACTGTACTTTCTCTGTTAAAAGGACCATGTTAAATTTGAGCTCACAATCATTCAATAAAATTGTTTTCACCTTTCTAGAAGGTAAAAAAYTAAAGTCTACAGTTATTTCATTCCTGGCCTAATAACACTCACTTTGGCTCTTAAATATATGCAGCTTAAATATCTCCTTCATACTACTCTTTAATTGCTTTGTCTTTTTTGATCTTTCTTAAGCTCTGTATGGGAAGAAAGAATCACATACTTTTTCTGTGACATTATAAATAATCACATTAAGTGGAATAAGTTGACTATAAACAGTTGAAATTAAATTTTACTACAGATTACTTGCAAAATAGTTTTGTTTTTTAAGATATTTTTGCATTTAGGAGCAACAGATGCCAGTTTGTGAACCTGTTGTTATGCCAAGTTGGAAAGAACTGTATTTGCTTCTATTGCATAAGTTTATCTTTTAAGTTAAATAAATTAGCAATCCTAAACTTGAAACTATAAATATGCATRAACAGTTACAAATTTCAAAAATTAATTTCCTTACCTAAAGGCTTAAAAAGAGCATGCTTATTCGTGATATTGAACCAGAAATTTATTTTGAAGCTGTTGATGATATTAGCAAGATAAATTTGTTACATCCATATATTAATATATTTTGTCAAGCAATATTACTATTTACTATCACACTGATTTTTTTTTTTGGGGGGGGCACTGGGAATAGAACCCAAGAGCGCTTTACCACTGAGCTGCATCCTCAGTCCTTTTTATTTATTTAGTTAGTTAGTTTTAGTTTTAGTTTAAGAAAGGGCCTCACCAAGTTACAGAGACTGACCTCAAATTTGTGATCCTCCTGCCTCRGTCCTGGTATTATAACTGTGAGTCACCATACCCGGTATTATGTTGATTTCACAATTCTATAAGATAAACAAAACAAAAACTATTACTTTAAAAAAAATCACATTAACTTTTATCTGATTTACCAAAGTAGAATAGATTTCTTGCAAATAGCATAGCTAATAGAAAGAAGGAAAAACTTGGGAGATTTTTCTCCCACATTTCACTGAAGAAGAAATTGAGAGTCAGATTCAATGACGCTATCAGTTAGAAACTGGCAGAGTTGGAGTTGAAAGCCAGCCTGACTCCAAGAGTTCGGAGTTATTCTTTCAAAAATATCTAGTGTGGGCTTGGTGTAGTAGTGCATGCCTATAACTCCAACAACTATGCTTGAGGCTGAGGCAGGAGGATTCCAAGTTCAAGGCCAGCCTCAGCAACTTTGCAAGGCTTTAAGCAACTTAGTGAGACCCTACCCCAAAATAAAAAATAAAAAGGGGCTTGGGATGTGGCTCAGTGGTTAAGCACCCCTGGGTTCAATCACCAGCACCAGGGGAAAAAAAAAAAAAAATATATATATATATATATATATATATATATATATATATATATTACTTAGTGTGAGCCAACTTGGTGTCAAACTTTCCTTACAAAATCCACAATACTATGGTGTTCCCTAACAAACAGAAGAAAAGACACAGACTTTTACAACTGAAAACATCCATGGGAATCTAGATCTGGAGAAAGTCATATGGATTTCTTTAATCTTAAGGGAATGTTTAACTCACTACATAAGGCAGAATCTTTCTTCCCAAAATTCTGGTTAAATTAACTGATGGTTCCTTGAACTCAACTCGATTTACTGCTRGTTGGAGGCCTGATCACTGCTGTGGATTGTAGCTACCTGAGGCCATAAATGCTCATGCTTATTTTGTAGGATGTGAACTTTAACTTGTACAGCTACTAGCATGAAGGGATAGATGTAGGCCAGTTTAGTAAACTATTAAAAACTATTTTGAAAAACTTAACCTTGCCCTTGACACTGGTGAGATGATTATTGTTAAACTATTCTTAACAGTTTTTTAGAAAACTGACCTTTAGTGAGTTGACCTACAAACATCAACTTTATAATAAAGGGCTTCCAAGTTAGAAATTTTTTTAATATCTGCAACTGAAGTCATACATACAGTCTATACTGGTTTTCTGGGGCTGCTGGGTCAATGTAACTCAAACTGGGTGGTTAAAAACCATAGAAACTTATTGTTTCACAGTTTTGGTGCCTAAGTCTCAACTCAAGGTGTTAGTAGAATGGGTTCACATTCTGAGATGATGAGGATCAGAACTTCAAGGCATCATTATTGTGGGGTATGAAGGTTAATTTTATGTATCATCTTGAAGATTGTTTTAGTATGAGAATAACACTTAAATTAGTAAATTTTGCATAAAGCAGATTGCTCTYCCGAACGTGATTGAGGCTCATCCAATCACTTAATGGAACAAMAGACTGAAGGAATTTTCCAGGAGACAGCCTTCAAATTTTATCTGCACCATCAAGTACTTCAGGTCTCCAGCCTGCTGGCCCACACTTCAAATTTTGGACTTGGACACCTACATAATTGCATGAACCAATTACTTATATAAAATTATAAACAGACCGGTGGAGTGGTACACACCTGAGATTCCACGAAGGAGGAGCACAAGTTCAAGGCTTTCCTAGACAACTAAATAAGACCGTGCCTCAAAATAAAAAATAAAAACGACTGAGATGTAGCTCCAGGGTAAAGAACCCCTGGGTTCAATTCCCAATACCAAAATCAATAAGTCATAAACACCACACACACACACACACACACACACACACACACACACACACTATTTGTTCTGTTTCTCCAAAGAACCCTGGCAAATCCAGAGGAGGACACAATTCAACTGGTAACGCCATCTTAAGGACACTCTAGTAAGACTGAAAAGAAATATACATCGTAGAACTTTAAAACCTGCGCTCTGTTGCCACAGCACATCTTCTGTGGTGTGTTATAAACTAATATCTTTTTGTAAATCCTGTAATCATCTTCTGAATGATGGAATTATGTTGCAAATTGACTTACAAGTATCAAACAGATGTCTTTGAAATACACCATAAATTTTGAGGCCCTGTTTTGGAATTTTTTTAATTATAACATTCTGGAAACCTCAAAAATTGGAAAGAGCTGTGGTTTTTCTGAGCCTCTTAGAGACTCCACACAGTAGTTCCTTCTGCACCTTGAACCTCTCCCATTCGCTTCCTATTGCCAAGATATTCTTGCTACTTCCTTTTACATTCTTCTACTTTCTCTCCACCAGCTCATGTTTACCACCTGTTTTAAGACATCTTCCCAAATAAACTGTAAACTAACTTAACCATTGTCTAATTAATTACGTATTTAACCTGTGCTAGTATAAGAAAATTCTCTTTGTCCTCCATTCCACACTATATTTCCAAGCTTCCTATATGGTTAAGTGTGTTTTGTGACAAAGTTCTCTGCCAAGGCCTGTAGGTCAGATTAAGGAAGAATTGGATTCTAAAGGATGATGGGAAACTACTTTAGCATGTGGAGCAGGTGAGTGATATGATTCCATTTTTCTTGGAAAAATTGGACTGAGTGATCTGTAAAGAATGAATTAAGGAAGGCAACAATTTTGGATGCAGGAAGAAAAAAAATAGGAAGATTAATTATTAATCCAGATAAGAGGATTGTAGCATCACCTGGAATTGTAGCAATTGAGACTGAAAAAGAAAAAGAAATCCTTGGTAATGAGCTAGATATGAGGAATGGGGGGCAAAGAAGGTATCAGTCATGCCAGATATAAAAAGATATCTGATCAACCTCACTCATACTAACATAAATGTAGATGTGATCTATAATGAGATAACAATTCTCACCTATTTTGGGGAAAAGAATCCAAAATCTTGAGAATATGCTCTGATAGTAAGATTCAGGGAAACACTCTTGTATAATTTTAGTGATAAGTGCCAAATGATACAGCTTTTTTAGAAAATAATTTCACAGTATCACATTTATCCTTTGACTCAATAATTCCACATTTGAGATTCTGAGCCAACAATACATTGGCAGTTACTGAAAACTGACACATGTACAAAACTATTCATCAAAGAAATATTTGTAATAGCAACCAAGTGAAAATACTAGAGCTGGCTTCTCTCCACTTGTGAGAACCAGCCGTGAAACTGTCAGTAATTTAGCAAGCTGGTTGTTAAAACACAGCCAGCATTGGAAATTAAATTACATAAACTTATAACAATTAAATAATATTAAAAGCAAAAGTAATAAGCATTCAAAATTCCTCATTTCCTAATTGATTTACTAGGCTTTATTAAGCATAGTAAGGTAATCTACATGTATTGTATTTGAAGGATGTGCCACTGTACATCACTCCCCAACTTCACCTCAGGGGCATCATGGTAGGAGCTTGAAATCAGCCATGGTGGGAATGTTTATACCACAGAAATTTGCAAATACTCCAAATCAGGACTTTTTCCTTTGTAGAGAGCTGGTTGTGGAACACTGATCAGCGCACACCGGGGAACAAAGCAAACATCCGTCAGAAAGTGTTCTGGTTGAATAGCATGATGTAGCCACTCAATTAAGTGTTAGGAAACTATAAAAGGAAATAAAGCTGTTATTATACACTGCTATAAAAGTGATCTCCACGATATACAAGTAAATGAAAAGAACAAGTTCAAGGACTGTTATGGTTACCATTTTTTTAAGTTTTTTATTATTTTTTTTTAATGGAAAGCTTAAAAAAAAAAAAGGTTTTTAAATGACCATATACAGAGAGAGAGGATAAACTGTGAGAAGATAKGGACAGATAAAGTGAAAGAACTGAGTATTTTGTCTTTCCTATGTGGTAGGTACTGGAGGGTAACCAAAATTTGTGAGCAGAGTCTCTGTACAAAAATATTTCAGCTAATACATGAAACGGTTATAAAAAGAATATTAACATTTCATAACAATTAATGGTATAACGGGCCTACTCTAAACAATGGCCATAAACAGATATTAATATCACAAATAAAGAGAGGACAACCAGACCTCTGTGCTTCCTGATGAAAATGCTCAACATTTCCCATGCAGAAATTTTGTCAAAGAATAACCTAAAAAAAAAAAAAAAAAACCAAGCCAAGACTTTAACTCTAAGGACCACTTCACAGGAAACTCTAGGGACTGAGAAAAACTACAAGGAGAATGACTCTTTCTTCAACAAAAATGTTTAGGGAGGGAAGATTCAGAATGAGAAGGATGAAGAGGAACAAAAGTTTATCAATCATTGCCACTTGGGGTTCTAATTGAAATCAACAGCAAATAAAGTACAATTTTGAAGCAATTCACGATATTTTGGTAAAGGTTTTAAGTGTCTTTAAAAAATGAAAAAATAAAAGTAATGATTTTATAGATAACATAAAAAAATATATATGTATAATATGGTGTTTGGGATTCACTTCCAAAAACTCTCTAGTTTGGGCATGGCAATATAAATAAAACAAGATCAACTATGCTAATTGCTGAAAACAGGTTTTTTTTCCCCTCTTTTAAAAAAATATTTTATGAAGTTTTCATATTGGAATGATTTGAGGATCAAGTTAGGAATGGGAAAGAGATCTACAAAAAGGTAGATTAACAACTTTCACTTCTAAACACAATTTGAAGTATGTGATTATAGATTACAAATTTAGGATTTTCAGCCTATGGAATTCATGCATTTACTTAGGAAATAAAAATACTTTTAATGGAGAATTAAAACATTCTGAAACCTGGTGTGGWGGTACATGCCTGTAATCCCAGCAGCTCGGGAGGCTGAGACAGGAGTTCAAAACCAGCCCCAGCAACTTAGTGAAGCACTAAGCAACTTAGTGAGACCCTGTATCAAAGTAAAAATAAAAAGTGGCTCAGGGGTTGAGCACCCCTGGGTTCAATTTCTAGTACTAAAATCAAACAAGCATACTGAATGCCTGTTATGTACCAAATACTAATCTAACTTCCTTAAATGTTATTTACTTAACCTTCATAATAACCCCATG